AGCATCGGTGTGTGAATGTGTATGAATGAGTTAGTTACGTAGTGTAAAAGCGCTTTGAGTGGTCAGAAGACTAGAAAGGCGTTATACAAGTACAGGTCCATTTACCATTTACCATTTTACACTACATGCCACATTTGCCCTTTCACACACATTCACACAGTGATGGCAAAGCCCACTGAACAGAAATTAACACATTCACACACCAATGCACAGCATCGGGAGCAATTTGGGATTCAGTATCTTGCTCAAGGACACTTCGACATGTGGCGGGAGGAGTCTGGTATAGAATCAACAACCTTCTGATTAGTGGATGACCTGCTCTGCTTCTGAGCCACATGTGCCCCTACTTCAAAATCTAAATCCTTCATCCAGTTCAAATCGAGAGTTAAAAAGTACCATGATCGGGCGCCTGGTTAGCTCAGTTGGTAGAGCTGGCGACCCATATACCAAGGCTGCAGCGGCCCATGGTTCGAATCCAACTTGTGGCCCTTTGCATGTTATCCCTTCTCTCTGCCCCCCTTTCCTGTCTGTCTCCAGCTGTCCTATCAAATAAAGTGTAAAAGCCGAAAAATAAATAAAAAATATACTTTAAAAAGTACCAAGATCTAAACAGTGGATAGTAAAAATGTGGTTTCAAACTGGATAAACGGTCAATGTATGACAGCTTCTGGTAGACATCCACAACGCTGACGCAGGCACAAAGGGGATAGGACACCATTGACAGGCGAACGGTGAAACGTAGTGTTACCTGAAAAAAATGACAGATTTCTCTGAGTTTGAACATTGTTTGAAACATTTGGGATAATGGAAGTATATAACTCAACTGCATATAGACCATAGCTCTAGAGTTTAAAGACATTTTAATGCAGAAATTCTACATACAGTATTATAGATTTAACACTTCTGTCGCCTCAGTTTGTCATGGAAACGTCAGTACTCTGTGGGAAAGCAGCATATTTCTCATTTATTTATTTGTAGGGACATCACACATTAATCAGCATTTCTGTAAATGTGGCAGTGTTAGTCAGCTGGATAATTTTCAACTGCAGTCCTTTGGGGAGATGTTTTGAAACGTATTAAATGATCTAATTTATAGAAGTAAACAACAACAGACACAGAAACAACTCTTTAAGAAAGAATACAAGCCATGCAGTGCAACAGAACGTTGGTACAATAATAGTTTTTATTGTTTTCCAACATTTCTATCTTTGCTCCGAGTTGGCTTTGGCATTGGCTTTTGATGCTTTATCAGTGTCCTCAAAAAGGCGTCTGGTTTGCTCGCTGATTTTCAGGGGTCTGTCCGGGGCCTTAAATTGAATCTCGCTAAGAAAGACAGAAGAGTTTAGGATAATGGGGTGGCACCTGGGGTGGCCAATTAGATTTCAAAGGTGGCGGCCAGTGCCACCCCATTATCCTAAACTCTTCTGTCTGTCAGAGGTTGTAGCGAGATTCAATTTAAAGCTAGAATGAAGATACTGGTATCATATAAATTAAGTTGACCTAACACATCCATTAGTATCAACCATGTCATGTTAGCATGTCAGGAAGGGGACTAAATAAAGCTCCAAAATTACATTTTTGTGGAAAACTTGCATGGCCCTTTTTTAAACAGAATCACTTGAACTCTGACCTCAAGATATCCCACGAGTCTCCCCTTTGCAGACATGACCACTTTATGCTAATCCCATGAAGCTTTTGAGCAAAAAAACCTGCAGTTTTAGTTGAGCTAATATATTTGAATACCAGTATTTTAGCATACTGGGGTCCATAAACAGTACTGGAATTGCATATATTGGGAATAACTGGAAAGCTGAGACACATACTTGATGCCAACCCTGCATAAGGCAGTGCTCTTCCAGTCAAAAACGTAGTTGTTGTTCTCATTTAGTTTCTAGTTTCTTGTCGTGCTGGTTGTAAATCTTTGCTATGTCTGCAGCCATGCCATCCTGCTTGTCTGGTGGTGAGTTAGCTCTGCTTCGTTAGCACCAGAGCTAATTCCCGTTTTTTTTTTTTCCTTTTGTGGGGCATAAATTGCAAAAGCACAGAGCAGTGTGAGCACCACAATATCACTGTGGCACACCATGTAAGCGACACACAGCAACAAAACACAATAGCAGTAAACAGTAGTCATGGAAAAAATAGTCATTATGATTTCCTTCTTCCATTTCTGTTGCTGTTGGGGACAGTATATATGATGCATATACCAATCATATCTCACCTCACACATCCATCTATAGGATAAGTAGACAAAGAGTTGGTAGAGCTGTACATTTAAAGTAGGTGTGAGTTCTAACTGTGTCCCCCTCTCAGGGTCCCAACTGTTCCGTCCCCTGCCTAGCAGGAACACACGGAGCCAACTGCTCCTCCAGCTGCAGCTGTAAGAACAAAGCTCAGTGCTCACCTGTGGATGGATCCTGTTCCTGTAAACCAGGTGAGTAGAGGAGGAGAGGGGGAGGAGGAAAGAGAGGAGAGTAGAAGAGAGAAGGAGTAGGAGAGGGAAGACGAGAGAGGGAGGAGAGAGAGGGAGAGGGAGGAGAGAGAGGGAGAGGGAGGAGAGAGAAGGAGAGGGAAGAAAAGAGAGGAGGAGAAAGGAGGAGAGGCGGAAGAAAAGAAGGAGGAGAGGAAGAAGAGAGGAGGAGAGGGAAGAAAAGAGAGGAGGAGAGGAGAGAAAAAGAGAGGTAGGAGAGGGAGAAAAAAGAAGAGGGAGAGAAAGGAGAGAGGAAAGAAAAGAGAGGAGAGAAAGGCAGATGAAGGAAGAAAAGAGAGAAGGGACAAGGGAGAGAGGGAAGAAAAAGAGAGAGCGAGAAAGGAGGAGAGGGAAGAAAGAGAGGAGGGAGAGAAGGAGGATGTAGGGAAGAAAAGAGAGGAGAGAAAGGAGGAGAGGAAGAAAAAGAGAGGGAGGAAAGGAGGAGAGGAAGAAAAGGAAAAGAGAGGAGGAGAAAGGAGGAGAGGAAGAAAAGAGAGGAGGAGAGAGGAGGAGAGAAGACTGAGAAACGTTGAGGAGGGCAGAGACTGTAAGATAAGAAAGACGAGGAGGGAGGAGAGAGAAAAAGGGGAGGATGAGAGGGAAGACTGAAAGAGGAGAAGAGGGGGGAAAGCGGGAGACAAGGGGAAGATGGGGAGAGAGAATGAGAGGGAGGACAAGAGAAGAGGAGAGGAAATAAAAACATGGCTCTGTCAGCAGTGAATATACAGTGTATACATATGAATGGCTTTATACTGTAATTCAATATTAATTAGATAAAAACATGTTCATATTAAATTATACAATCTATATTTATGTTTTTACAGTATGAAAAGATATTTCATCCTGCTTCTCCATGATAAAACACAATGATTCTTTTTACAAAACCATCATGACTTCTGTCAGCGGGCGCCAACGAGGCGAGCTCCAACCTGCCCGGCCCTTTGCTGCATGTCATCCCTTCTCTCTGCCCCCCTTTCCTGTCTCTCTCTAGCTGTCCCTGTCAAATAAAGGCATAAAAGGCCAAAACAATAATACTTTATAACTTCTGTCAGCGTTATTTGAAGGAAGCTATTCTAAAGGTATTTTGTTGTAATTCTTATGATACTGTCGAGCCAAATTAAGGTGTCTGAATCCTACTGAACTTGTTTATTCAGGGTGGCACGGGGTAGACTGCTCCATCAACTGTCCCAGTGGTACCTGGGGTCTGGGATGTAACCTCACCTGTATGTGTGGTAATGGAGGAGCGTGTAACGCGTTGGATGGTCAGTGTACCTGTGCTCCAGGCTGGAAAGGAGACAGGTGTGAACTCCACTGCCAGGTGAGAGAATATGAATGCTCCAGGATGTTTTTTATCGATCATATATATTTCAAAGTGGTTCAATCAATTCTTAAAGCAGTCCACAGAACCACTGTCACTGTCCTGTTACAACACAAAGCCTGAAAAGTTCCTGCTGTATGTCCTGTGTCACTGTTGGTCCTCCTCAGGATGGTACGTATGGTCTGGACTGTAAAGAGCGCTGTGACTGCAGTCACGCTGATGGGTGTCACCATTCTACTGGTCACTGCCGCTGTCTGGCTGGATGGACTGGTAAGACCTAATAACAAATGAGCTCATGGCTGATTTGTCCGTGCATAAATATCTGTGTAAATGTCAGAAAATTACAGTATACTGTACCTAAATGTCAGTTTTCCAGTACATCCTGCTTTCTATGGTTATCAGCCATGTGAATGAGACAATTAGAGATGGGGCTGTAATGATTATAATGTAACTCTATATGCCAATAAAATGATGCTCTTTATTATCTCAAAAATGTGTTTTAATATGAAATAAGTATGTTCGATGTTATTAAAGTAGGCCATCGACATATATAAAGATTGACGACATGACAGGTCTCTAAAAGTGAAGCCAAAATATCTCTATCACCCTCTAATGGCTGACTGCAGTATAGGTCATGAAGGCTGATGCTTCCATGAACAGATGGGACAAACAAAAAAAATGTAAATACACATTTTTCCCAAAGATAGCTTCTGTCATTGTAGGTAGTTCTTATCATGCTGTATGTTCAAATATACATTCTTCAGATAAGTTTGGTTTTAATTGGTTATTTGAAGAAGGGGGTTTTGTGTCATGATTGATAGCTGAGCCCTGCTTGCAATTGAGTTGGCCAGACAAATGGGATGGACTTTGATAGTTCAATACAGATTTCCAATGAGAAACTTTGACAGATGAATGTGAACTCTGCACAGACATCATTCAAATATCACACTGTAGGAACAAGAAGAAACACTGATTTCTGACTGGAGGGGGACTTTAAATTAAATGAAAGGAGAGGATCCATATAACCCCCATGTTTCTGTGTGTGTGTGTTTGTGTATGTGTGTGAGCAGGTATCCACTGTGACAGTGTGTGTGCAGAGGGCCGCTGGGGCCCGAACTGCTCCCTCCCCTGCAACTGTAAGAACGGAGCGTCCTGCTCTCCAGACGAAGGTTCCTGTGAGTGTGCTCCAGGATACAGAGGCACCACCTGCCAGAGGAGTAAGTCCTCCATCAGCAGCACATCCTCACACAGCTGACACTTGACGTCAGGGATGAAATTTATTTCAACATTTAACATTGTACTCGAGCTGTCACTGCTGGTTAGTAGCTGAAATCTGGGAACACGGTGATATCAATAAAAATAGTCAATTGTTGTCAATTGTCAACAGACAAAGGTCAAATTACCACAATTATTATCACAGTTTGAAGTATTTAAACTTGAAGTTCATCAGCATTAAATTGCAAAATCTCTAAAAGTTGACAAAGAACAGCATCTTCAAATCTTAACCAGATGGCTGACAGATCAGCGACCTTTGAATGTTTTGCTGCAACCTGAAGGAGTCTAGTCTGCACCTGCCCAGGCATGCGTTTACAGGGGTGGGGAGGCAGCTGTAGTGCAGTAGCCAGGAAGTGTCGATCCCAGGTTCTGCGAAGGAAGTGGGCATTAGAATGGGTGTGGGTGTTTTGTACTTTGGTGAGTACAGTATTGTCATTAACAATAAAAATGATGGCCAGAATTATCCTTTCAAGTTTTTATGAAAAACTTTCCAAGCTTTTCGATTCACTTCCAACAAATAAGAAGTAAAACAACCCTCAGATTTTTTAAACAACTTAAATTTGAACAGCTTAAAGGTTATATATAAAATTCACTGCCACTAGATGTCATACTACAGCACCAGCATCTCAGACCAAAACAGTGGCTGCTACGGCTGACCAGACTCCATTGACAAAACCAGTAATTTTAGCTAGCAGATAATCATAAAACACACTTGGACAGAAACACGTCAAAACCAAATAAACCCTCATTTTTAGTGAAGAAAATAGCCATGTAACAGGCTGCAATGGCTGCCAAGTAATAAACACATTTTTCCATCACAGTACTTTCACTAAAAGATGTTGCCACTGACAGTGTCTGACAACATTATTGAAAGTATCCCTACAGAGATAGACCTTTTGTTAAACCAGAAAGAGCCATAATATCCCATTGCTCGCTACCAAACTCTATACACAAAAATGGTAATTATAGCTTGCATATCATCATAACAACATAACTTTACTCTGAGTGGACAGAAACAAAATAAAACTCACAAAAACTGTATTTGTTAGTCTTTCCACTATTCCTACAATCCCCAACTCTATTTTAATGGAAATAAATCCTTGATGCCGTCGAGAAAAACAGCTGTTTCAGTCGCTCTACTCCATCTGAAACGGAGGGACTCACATAGCAATACAGGTAGGGGGAGTGTGTGATGTCATTCACTGCTCAAGACACCATGAGTCCACTGTATCTTTATATAGCTAACAGTTTGTTGCTATTAATGTTTTAAATCTCATATACTGTATATAGCCAAGTTCAAGGTCCACTTTCTAGCTTTAAATGGAGCGTTAAATTGTATCACATGGTCATCACGGAGACGGAGACCTATACACAAACACACACACATGCAAGCATCAATCAATCTCCACAACTGAAGAACCAACAGGCACTGGACAAGTTACCGGTCATGTGAATACACAACAGTTTATGTGTCACCAGTGAAGTGATCCGCTGTCTTCCACATTTATCAACTTCGACTTATTTCAATTCAATTCATTTGTCCCCGGAGGGCAGTTGGTTTTACAGCAGGACATAGATACAAGACAATAAAAGACAAAACAAGAAGATAAATTACAAAACATAGGACATAGGGTACACCATCACCTTCCCAATTCATAGGATTGTGCTGGTAAGGTACTGAAACGTTTACGAAATTATTATATATATATATAATATGAAGGTTGAATATATGGAATGACATCTACCGGCCTAATATTATTGAG